AGAGAGAGAGAGAGAGAGAGAGAGAGAGAGAGAGAGAGAGAGAGAGAGACCCTTCAGAACACTGCCAACCAGTTCCCTCTCCTGGTTCCCACACAGCTCTGGCCTTAGCTCTTTTCCCCTGTGTATTAAAATAATGGGACACAAGTTCAACTTCCAGGTCCTTGTTCCTCTTTGGTATGATCCAAAGCAAATGAAGACATTATTGTGTCCTGAAATATGACACATGGATTCTATTCTCTTTTGTACCTGAAATGGAATATCTTTCTCCTTTTCTACCACAATCTATAAGAAAAACAAATTTTAGATTGCTTCCTAAAACAGTGGGGAACACCATAAAAGACTCTTGATTCATTAACTCAATAGTTCTCAGCTCTGGCTTCACAAAGAAAATAACAAGAAATGTATGTCAGGTTCTCAGCCCAAGCCAATTACATCAGAACCTTTGGGAGCTCCAAGATGTTCAAAATGCCTTGTTCACAAATTTACTAATTATGTAATTTTGTAACAATTCTGAATTTTAGTATCCTAATTTATGAAATGAGGATCATAAAACCTACTTTCGGAGTATGCAGGAGCTAGCTTCTACAGATTTAAAAGAATTGATTGCATATTCCCAACTCTGTGTTCAGTGATATCATATTGTAGGTTGAATCAGGTGGGTGGAAATATTACACAAAGGAAATTGGAAAGTGCTACAAAAGGACTTCTCCCTTTTCAAGCCCAGAGAGCTGATAGTCAAACATTTTCCAGCACACCACTGATAGATAACCTTCAGCTAATAGGTGACAGAGTTGGGAAAATGACCCAGCCATCATAAACATACCAATTTTTCAGCTTAGCTATATAATATTTGTAGGGATATCTTACAATATCTTACAATATGTGCTTTTTCAGTTGCAATGTAAAACATCAAGGAAAGGTWAAATGATAATTTAATCCTTTGGGGGTCAAAACTCCAATGTCTTCAGGAGCTGGGCAAGTATGAGGACAGAGGGTCAGGAGAGGAGGGTCCTTGCTGAACTACAAAACAAGTTGAGGCTCCCTCCCTCATTTCATTCAGGCCCCTACTCAAATGATACTCTCTGTGAAAACTCATATCTGACCATACAATCCTCTTTCTCCTGTCACTCACTCTCTACCCCATGCCCTACTTCATTTTCTTCATATCACTTAACATTAGTTGACATCATGTTTGTTCACTTGTTCATTGTTTTGTTTCTTTCTCCAGAATACAAATTCCGTGAGAAAGTACGTAGTGCTAGTCAGTGTTCAATAAATATTTGTTGGATGGATGAGAGGGTGGGTGGGTGTATGGTTTAGGTAAATACTATCCAATTCCAGAAGAATATTGCTTGCTAGGGAATGTAGGCCTCACATTATCAAATCTTTTTTTTTTTCCTTCTTCTTCTTCTTGTTTTTCAATTGAACCATGGATTTAAAAAAAAAAAAAAATCCCAAGGGAAATTAGAAACTATTTTGAACTGAATGAAAATTAAATAAAATATGTCAAAATGTGTGGGATGCAGCTAAAGTAAGACTTAGAGGGAAATTTATAGCATTAAAATGATTGTGTCAGAAAAAAAGTAAGAAAATTAACACCTTAAGAAAGTAAAAGGAGAAGGGCAAAATAAACACCTAAAGCAAGCAGAAAGAAGAAATGTAACAAAGGTAAAATATGAGGACAGAGGGTCAAAGCAATAATCAATGGAATTGAAAACAGAAAAATAATAAACAATAATCAAGGAAAACAAAAGATAGTTATTTGAAAACATCAATGAACCAATAAGCACCTAGCCAGACTGACCAAGAAAAAAGAGAGGAGACACAAATTACCAATATCAGCAATAAAAGAAGGTATAGCACTATAGAACCCATAGACATTTAAAGGACGATAAGGGACTACTACAAACAGCTCTATCCACATAAATCAAACAATGAAATGGAATAACTTCAGATGAAATGGAACAATTTTTTAAATATAACATACTAAAATTCACTCAAGATTACATAGATAGCCTGAATAACCCTCTAACTAGTAAAGAAATTAGATTTGTAGTTTAAAATATTCCACAACAGAAATATCCATGTTCATGTGGTTTCATTGGTGATTTTATCAAATGCTTAAAGAATAACATCTAATCTAGAGGCTGGGGTTGTAGCTCAGCGGTAGAGCGCTCACCTAGCACATGCGAGACCCTGGGTTTGATCCTCAGCACCACATAAAAATAAATAAGTGAAATAAAGGTATTGTGTCCAATTACAACTAAAAAGCAAAATATTTAAAAAATAACATCTAATCTATATAATCTCTTTTAGAAAACAGAAGAAGAAACACTTCCCAAGTCATTTTAAGAGGCAGCATTGCCTTGATTCTAAAACCCCCATAAACACAGTATACAACACTTCTCAAAAAATAATMAAATCAAATCAAATGATACATAAAAAAGTATAATACATGATGATCAAGGGGGGCTTATCCCAAGAATATATTCAGTATTTGTAAATCTATTATGTAATAGCTCATATTAATAGGCTAAGGAAAACTACATGATCATATTAATTGAGGCAAAAAATATATTTAAAAAAATTCAACATCCATTCATGATTAAAAAAAATTTTAAATAAAACAAACCAAAATCTTCTCAGCTAATCTGGAATAAATGGAAACTTTTTCAACCTGATAAAGGAGAACTACAAAAAACTGACAGTCAGTATCACAATTAATCATAAAAGTCTGAACATTTTCTTTGTCTCTGAGATTAGGAATAAAAAAAAAGATTTCTACTCTCTTCACTCCCTTTAAAAAAGTTTGGTATACGTAAATAAAAAGGCATATAGATTAGAAAGAAATAAAACTATCTCTACTATAGTTTCAGATAACTTGATTATCCACACATAAAGTTCAAAGGAATGTACAAAACAGCTATAGTTAGTTTAGCAAGGTTACACTATACAAAGTCAACATATAAATATCAATCATATTTCTATATAATGATAATCAACAAATAAAGCCAAAATTTTAAAAACACAATTTATGCTAGGTGTGCTGGCATACACCTGTAATCCCAGTGACTTGGGAGGCTGAAGCAGGATTGCCAAATTTGAGGTCAGCTCAGCAACTTAGTGAGACCCTGTCTCAAAATAAAAAATAAAAAAGGTTGGGAATGCAGCTCAGTGGTAAAGTGCCCCTGGGTTCAATCCTCAGTATAAATAAATTATAAATAAAACAAAACCAATTTATAGTTGATCAAAAAAATAAAAATACTTGCATATAAATCCAACATACAGTTTCTGAATACTACAGAAATACAAAAGGTCAATGAAAGAAACCAAAGACTAAATTGATGAAAAGGTAAATCATGGATTCATGGATTGGAAGATTCAAAATCAGATGTCAATTCTCCCCAAATTGATCTATAAATTGAATGCAATGCCATTTTGCAGTTACAGACAAACTGCTTCCAAAGTTTATATAGAGAGGCACAAAACAATTTTGAGTGGCCCAAACAATTTTGAAAAAGAAGAATTAAGTTAGAGGCATCGTAGTACCTGATTATCTGGGGCTGGCATGAACAGGAGCTGAGCACGTAGGAGCTAAGCCTTGAGCGACGGAGGTGTGGAACTGGCTTCCACTGTGGCTCGAAAGCAGGTGGACCTCACCTTCSCTTAGCAAGGAATTGCGGCTCCGGGAGTGGACGTCACCCAATGGGATTGGACTACACCCCCCTGAAACCCAATCCCTTTCCTCATTTGGGTGGAACTTTCTCAAGTGTCTTCCCCTCAATAARTAAGATGGCTTCWGGTGTGCTCTGGCTCTTTTGCCAGTCTCTCTTACCTCCCTTATAGGAACTGGGGCAGAGGACCTGTCACTGAACCCCAAGAAAAAGGTACTTTCTGTGTCTGTGTGATTTTTTAGTGCCAGCTCAATTCACCTGAGTGACCCTGAATGATTAAGTCACCTGTGGCGGTACTCAATGGTTTTTTAAATCTACAGTAACCAATAAAGTAGGGTATTGGAAAAGAGACATACAGATCAACAAAATAAAATACAGAATCTAGAAATAGATGCCCAGATATGACCAACTGATTTTTGACAAGGGTTTATAAGTTTTGACAATGGAGAAAAGTTAATACTTTCAAYAAATGTTAGGAATCACATGACAATAAGAGATATAATTAACATTGGACTTTACSGAACATAAAACTTTCACTTTACAAATAACACTATTAAGATAATAAAAAAAGGCAAATTACATTCTAGAGGAATATATTTGCAAATCCCATATCTGACAACTGACCTAAACCCAGAATATATAAATAACTCTCAAAATTCAACAGTAAGAAAACAACAGTCCAATTAGAAATAGAGAAAAGACTTCCATGGAACAGGGAAATGCCAACTAAAACCACAGTGAGATACCAATATACATATATTTGAAAGGCTAAGACTTACAAAGAARTACTGACAAGATCAACTTGAAGTCTCTTTCTCAGGGCATCAAGACCTTGCATGAACTGGTTCTCCCTATTAACCAGTATTAGTCAGCTTTCCGTTACTATGACAAAATACCTGAGATAATCAAAAGGAGGAAAGGTTTACTTTGGCTCACAGTTTCAGAGGTTTCAGTCCACAGTCACTTAGTCCTGTTACTTTGGTCCCATGGTAACACAGTATATCGTAGCAGGAGTACATGGTAGTAAAGGCCTGTTTTCCTCACAGCAATCAAGAAATAGAGACCAGAAGGAGCCAGAGTCCCCCCCACCTCCTATGTTCCAGCAATGCTGGTCATTTTGCTCTTTTTGGAACATAATAATTTCAATCTTCCTCATCATTTGCTTATTATGCTTTTCTACCTGAAATTTCCATGGCTAGCTACTTCCTGTCATCTAGGTATTTGCCCAAATATCCTCTYTGCCTAGGTCATCAAATCTAAAGTCCTTCTGTGCTCCTGGCTCAGTCACATTACTCTGTTTCATGGCCTTCTAGCACTTAGACCCATCCCTTAAATTAGTTTGCTCTTTTATTTCCTTGCTTACCTATTATCCCTTCACCACCACAAAAGACTGTGAGCTTAGTCAGAAGAGGGGTTGTCTTTTTTTTTTTTTTTTTTTTTTTTGGTACAGGAGATTGAACTCAGGGGCACTCGACCACTGAGCCACATCCCCAGCCCTATTTTGTATTTCATTTAGAGACAGGAGCTCATTAGTGAGACCTTGCCATTGCTTTGGGCCTTGGCATTGCAGAGGCTGGTTTTGAACTCCTGATCTTGTCTCAGCCTCCAGAGCTGCTGGGATTATAGGTGAGTATCACCACACCCAGTGAGGGGTTGTCTTGTTCTCTGCATTCCCACATCTAGAACATGTCTAGCAAATAGTAGGCCCTCAGAAATATTTCTAGAATAAATAATTGAATGAATGAACTACTTGCATATTATATTAAGGAACTGGCACAGAGCTTCCAAGGCTGGCCTTTAGGAAATGAGGCCATCCCAGCCAATATGTGGTGTGCTCTTGTTAACAGACTCAAATCACTTTTAACTTCTGAAGACTCTTCAAAAGTGTGCCTCAATTTATGCTATATGTTATTCTCAAGGCAAAGATAATCTGCTCCATGCTCTAAAAACTTAAGTGCAAGAAGATTAAGTGACTTAGGTCACACAGAAATCAGTGCCTAAGTCAGGATATAAGATAACATGAAACTCTTATTTGCAAAAGGGCTTAATCATTTCTTTAAATAGCTTCTCCTTAAATTGGAAAGTAATACTTTCCTACCACCCACCATGAGGGTGGGGAACTGTGACTCAAAACTTGGGTGGGGTAGGATTCCAAAGCTGAAAACCAGCCAGCAASGGGCTCAGTGTTGGAGGATGGACTTGAGAGCCATCTGAATCCCCGCACGGGCTTGCTTCTCGCCTCAGGGCCGCTGCACTGGGTACGCTCTCAAGTCTTTTGGCCGCAGACCACCCCACTGGCCATCAGGAGGGTCTGCATCACATGAGACCTTGTCCCACGACTTACAGAACTCGTGTCCTGCAGCCTCCACCTCCTCCTCTCGAGGCTCTTCCTGCTTCGGGGTCCGGGACAGGCCCTTCCAAGCCCCAGCGGCCGCGCCCCTCAGATCTTCCCGAAGCCCCTTTGCTGCCGTCGCAGCCCCGAGGAGCAGCCGCCTGGCGGCARCCCCACTGTCCGCGGCGCGCCAGGAGGGGTTCATGGCTTCCCGGGAGCCTGCGAGCCCAGCCCGAGCCTGACCCTGGCTGCTTGCGGAGGTCCGCCAGGGCGGGAACGCTGGACCCAGTCCGCTCCCTGTTGGGGCCCTTTGCCGGCCACAAGCTCCAGGTTCTCCAGTACTGCCCAAGACAGGGCAGGGCTGGAGAATCCGCCTCCAGGTGTGGCACGCGCGGTGCTGTGGTTTGGGTCTACCTGAAATGAAACATCCCAAGAAATCCACAGCTACAATCAACTCCCCCTTTTATACTCCACTAATTTTTTGTATAATTTTGAGAAATCTTGAGGTTCCATTTATAACTAACACTACAGGAACTTCAATATCAAATAATTCCTAAATAGGCTTTCAGAATTTTCTTTGGAATAAAAAAACCATGACTTTTAATTTCTCATTAATTATCACGCAATTATCATCTTTCTTGGTTCATTCTTTGGAAAAAATTAAATAATACAGAGACAGATCAAAGAAATTCTGATCCCCCAAATAAACTTCAAAAGTGAGAGGTAATTTGCTTTTCATTTATTTTGTATTCTTAMGAATTAATGAGATCTTTCATTTCAATATAAATCTATCATTTCAATRGTCGTTTCAAACATATTTTCCTTTCAAATTACAGTGCATCAAATTTGAAACATTAGATTCAAAACAATATTTCCTCATCATTGAAAAAAGAAAACTGTGGCAGAATATTATTGTATTCAGAACACCTCCTATAACTTCAAACTTTCTTTTTWAAAAAAGAGTGAAATGATCTAGTCATGGTGGCACCTGACAAAAATCCCAGTTGCTTGGAGGCTGAGGCTAGGAGGATCTTCAAGTTCAAGACAAGCCTGGGCAATTTAGTGAGACCCTGCCTCAAAAGAGAACATAAAAAGAGGTGGGATTCAGCTTAGTGGTAGAGTGTACCCATGAGTTCAATTGATATTTAAAAAATAAAAATTAATTAAATAGGCCTCATGTTTATAAATGGGATACCATCAAGACAATAGCAAATACACTGACTTGAATATTATATAGAAATACCAGATTGTACAAATATGAAAAAATATATACAATATGTAAATGAAAGAACCGAACACAAAATTATATGTATATATAGTATGCTTACAATTCAATTTCTAAAAATCAGAAGAAAATATACACTATAAATAATGACAATGGAAACAGTGCTAAAAGACTACCAGTGGAAATTGAACAGCCAAGTACACAAAGATCTGAATTGTGCTATCCAAATAATTCATGGCATGCAAATTGCTTTCTAATTCTAAACCAAGCWGTTTAATTTTGCTAATACCCTCTTATCAATGACTAGAGAAAATGCATCAYCATCTTTTTCTATACACCCTATAGAAGTACTGTGATATGAACTACTTTAGCAGACAAAAACCCCAAGGCTATGCATTGTGTAAATTATAGCCTTGGTTGAACTTCATTTTCTTAATTTTCCTGAGAGCTTGGGCTACATGAAAAGCTAGGAATTATATTGTGAATATTTCCCTTCCTGTTTCAAATAGCAAATTAATTTCCAACCAGAAGATTAATTCTAAGTTATGCTAATTCATAAGAGATATCACCCCACAGGAACTGGATTCATGTCTCTGACTTCCGGCCCTACAATTCTTTCTCATTCTTGCTGCTATTTCAGGGATTCCTGCTGAAGAGCCATTCAGCTTCCATTTCTCTCTGCCTAGAACCCTTTTTCCTCCAACCCCACTTCTGAGTTTTTAAAAATGGTTTGGCCATTCATACGATTATGGTCTCAGGTTTCAGTTTAAATGTTACTTCTTTAGAGGAGCCTTGTTTGATCACCATATTTTAAAATATTCTAAACAGTATCCCCTGCCTTCACTCTTCATTCCCTTACGATTATCTCTTTCCCGTATTTTACTTGTCACTGAAATGATAGCCAGTATTTGTTAATGTCTGTCCTCAACTAGAAAGTAAGCTTCATGAAGGTATGATTTTTGTTAATTTTTTCCCCAGCAACATCTCCAGTGCTTATAGTAGTACCAGGTCTGAGATTTATTTGTCAAATAAATATGAATAATTATGAATAATTTATTCAGGTAAATGGTAACTTATCAACAAAGGAAGAAGCCTACAGTAAGGAAATTCTTCAATTCTGAAGTAAACCTTTAAGTCCAGGCCTTGTTCAAGGATTCTTTGTCCTTAAGAACACCTGCCTTGATTTCTCTTCCCTCTCTCCTGTCATGATTTCTCCCTAGATTCCCACTTTATATAGTCATYGATTATAATAGCCCTTCCCACACAGGCTGGAAACTGTCACGTGGTGACTCTTCATTCCTGTGGACAGAGACCCCTTATAATCTTTGTGTCCTATATCATCTAGGATTTAGCTATAACCACCAGAAAAACCCAAATATCTATACCTTAAACAAGGCATCTCATGCAAGTTTAGAAGCCACAGGCCTGTACTGATGTCTCTGTTCTAGAAAGTCCTCAGGAACCATACCCAACAACCCATGAGTTCATCATCCCCAGGTGCAACCCCCAGCTCAGGTATAAGAAGCATCTGCTTCCAGGCAACAGGAAAGAAACAGGAAGAAGAGGCCACAAGGATGTCACAGCTGCAACAGAATGGAAGTTCTCAGAAGTATCACTCACAGATACTTCCTTTATACCCCTGGCTAACATTCAGGTTACATGGCTGTACCTGGCCTACAGGGTTGTGAGTTGCAAGAGTATGAGATAATTTTCATTAATTCTGAAACACCCAATTTGCATATTTTAACATCTCTTTAATTGAGATATTAAAACTGCCTGGATTGAATTTGGATTCTTCCTAAGAGGAAGTGCATTTGCTTCTGTTAGATACAAGGAACAATATCAATCTGAGATCACTTTAAATTCCCTACTTGAGCACTTTTGCATCACACCATCTGTGTGAATGCAGACTACAAGCTTTTATGTTACTGGTTTGTGGATAACATTCTCAGGGGGAGTCCTGCCTACCAACCAAGGCCAAGGWTGAGCATGCAGGTTGCTTTGCTGCCTTTCATCATGGAGAATTTATTTCTATTTTATTCTTGTTCTGAACATACAAGCTTTGGTTTCCCATATTTATGCAGTTGTAACCTATAGAACTCACTGTCTTGGATATCATTTTAGATATTATTCTTTCTTAGTGATTTCTAAAATAGAGAATTAATGAAATACATTTATCTCTTCTGGATGATCCTGTGCTTAGCTAAAGTTCTTTTCTTTTTTTTTTTTTTATTTGTATTGTCACTGCCTCTCTGATCAGCTCTATTCAAAATCAGCTATTCAAAATCATTTCATTTCACGGAATGAAACAGATTTTTTGAGTTAACACACAGGCTTCTTTTTTTTCCTGAGACAGGTTTATTTTTGGCTGTTGGTTTCTTGTAGGTGCAGCCATTTCCCCACAGGCTGCTTYTGCTTAATACCAGCAGCCTTCTTTCCTTGTTTCTTTACCACAGTCCCCTTCTCATTTCACTTGGCTGCTGCTGCTTTATCCACCTCAATTTTGTGATTCTTGGCCTGGCAAGAATGGTGTTCCAGCGCCTGATCTTTGCTTGTGGGTTTAGTTACAACCTGATCCTCAGGTTTTTCAATGGATTCATTTTCAGAACTCTGTGGTGAATGGTCTTAATATTGTGCCCTGAGGGCGGTTTGGACCTTTGGACTTTTCAAGATTCTGCTAACGTCTGTATTGATCATGTTGTACAAAGGGAGGTTATACTTACTCTTGAGGGAAGCAGCCTTATGCCAAGTGCCATACGGTTATATCTAACTTCCAAAAGCACTTTTGGTCCAAATGCAGAAACGTCCCACATACCCACCAGGAGCAAGTTTCAAAATGTTCAGTTTGCTTACATTGAGTAGAATAATTCCAGGAATGTTTCTGAAGGCCTTGATGATAGATAGCACTATCTGCATTACAGATGATACAGGGCCTCCTGCGCTGAATATGGTGATGGTTTCTCATTTTGCCCTTGGCAGCTCTCACTGGCCTGAGAGGCATAGAACTTCCTTAAATTATTCCAGACTTTAAGAAGAACAGTCTCCTTGATCTACTTGTAACCTTTAATTTTTAAAAAAAATTTTTTTAGGTGTAGGTGGACACAATACAATGCCTTTGTTTTTATGTGGTGCTGAGGATCGAACCCGGGTCCCGCCCATGCTAGGGGAGCACTCTACCTCTGAGCCACAATCCCTGCCCCTGTAACCTTTAATTTTATCTTGAACTACCAAAGAAAGTCCAGGAAATTCCTCAACTTGATGACCTTTAGATATAACCAGAACTGGTAAGGCTGAGGCAGCCAAGGCAGAGGAGATGGCATATCACTCTTGGGTTGTGTTTACTCTACTGTGCTGATAATGCTGAGTTTTGGTTGGTTCAAACATGCGGCCTCCTCTATATGTTTCCAAAGGCACCATGGCCAGAATGGTAGGTCCTGCCTCCTCAAACTCTGGGAATTTGAGTCATAGTTCTGTCAGAACCCCAAGACTCAACACTGGTCTGATGACCTGCTAGTTCACTGACAGTATAGGGCTGTCGTTTTTACACAAGTTGATGTGAACAAAGTCCACAGTATCTAGCAAAATTGGAGACTTGAACACAGTAGGCAAAGTAACATTTTTGCAAGATGACTTACCTTTTTTGGAGTCCACTGATATCAGGGGTCAAGCATACACCTTGTTCTTAGACTCAAAGTTTTCCATTTTTGGCAGATTCCAAGTTTTCTAAGATCCAARGAAAGCCGGTCTCTTTGAGAACCCATGTGTTCTCCTAGGTTGCTTCCAGGTGTACCCTTGTGCAGCCTCAAGGTGGTCACCAGGTCCCACACAACCTGGTTCCCTCCAAAAACAGAAGCCTTTGGATCTCTGCCTCTCATGGATTCCTCCCCTGTATATTTTGTGTCCTAAACTTTCCATCCTTCCCTTCTTGCCCTGGAATCAGGGGGAAATCCAGCCAAGACTCACAGCAGGGAGAAAAGCTC